TATTTTTTTTTGTTTTATTAGTACTATGTCTGGTAAAAAAATCATACGTTTTCGTCGAAAATAGAAACTATGCGATGAAAAATAAATCGGGGCCTCCGGCTAGGTTGACCAGCCCCATATATATATATATATATATATACAGATGTCGGATCCCAACATTGACTAATAAAACAAAAAAAAATTTTTTAAAACTTGCATCATAAATCTTTGTAATCATTCGAACATATAAAATTTGACTAAACCAAAAATAGAAATGAACAAAACTGGAATAATGTGGTGTGTAGCTAACATCTCTTACGAGCTGAAGGGACTAAAAGGACTAAAGGCACTAAAAGGACTAAAAGAACTAATGGGACTAAAATGACTAAAATGACTAAAGACACTAAAATGACTAAAGGGACAAAAAGAACTAAAGGAACTAAAATGACTTAAAGGACTAATGGGACGAAAAGGACTAAAAGGACTAAAAGAACTAATGGGACTAACGGGACTAAAATGACTAAAATGACTAAAGGCACTAAAAGACTAAATGTCATTTATAAAAAAGTAAAACTTTTCTATAAAAAAGTTAAACAGGATAACTTTTATTTTTCGTGAACCTATGATTTATTAATGAAAGGGTTCTACTTTTTCTTGATGTTGTAATGAGTGACGAATAGTAAATCACTATTATCCATTTCAAAATAGAAGAAAACAAAGTATTTGTGAAATCATTTTTTGATAGAAACAAAACAGAGATTTATGACTTTCACTGTTTGAAAATGAAAATAAAACTACATCGAATCCTATATACCAGGTTTTTTTCAACAAGTTTTCTCAGGGTCTCGTCCATAATTCGCTAAAAAAGAAACATTCCGGATGCGGATGTAGGGGCATAGAAGACTCATCGCAACATATGCAGAACCACACACTTGCTCGCTCTTTGATAAAGAGAAATATACAACCATTTATTTTGAATGGATGGAAAAAGACAGAAAGGAAAAACGTCGAAAAGAAAAATATAGAATGTGAAAAATAGATAGATGGGAACGATATAAATTGTTGGAGGTTGCTTGAATTCGACGATTGAAAGGTTCTTTTTTTCATGACTCGTGATGTTATCCATTGTCACAATTGGCGTACCGAACATGTCTACTGAGCTGAAATAAATCCATTTTTGAAACGTTTTTTAAGTATGGGATAGTAATCGAACGTGCGCTAGTTAGTTGTCTTTATTTCAGATAGTATGACTATTCTGTCTAATCTGATATCATTTCTGTTTGCATAAAAAAGAAACTCATTGTTGATAAGGGACAACTTCATATTTAAACTTGACATAATCGCAAATGCAATAAAACACTATTGATGTGAAAAACTACTTTGTACTGTGACTTCACATACAGACATACATGATGTTGTAGTAAGAGCTAAAGGTAATCATTCATTCACCTCAACCATAAAACCGTGCGATTCGAATGTTCAAACAAATTATACAAGTATGCGCTATCAAAAAGAAAAATAATCTGACATTGAAAATATACGACGAAAAATCGTCAAGATCTTGTTTTAAGACATTAGTAATTACTATCCTTCCATCACCAAGGGAAATAGGTAGTCGGGTACTTCTTTTTCTTTGACTGAAGTAACTTTTTACAACTTCGTTTATAGGATGCAGCAAGACATCCTCAAACAGGTAATATCTATGATTTTCAACTTTCCTGTATATCTGAAGCTTATACAAAATCGTTAAGAATTACCTTATACTCAGGTCACGAAAAGGGTGATATTGATGCTAATGAACTTTTTACTTCATTATCTTACGTTGTTGCTAAATACTCTTGCAACAAAAGATAACTGAATTATCATAACTTTATTTTTAGTGACATTTCTCTAGATGCCAGGCGTGAATTTTTCTATTACTTATCTTTAATCAATAATTGATTTATCGATGCTGTAAATTGTTATATTGAAAATCAACATTTTTCTTTTCTTTCTTTTTCCATCATACCTTTATTTTCACTAAAAACTTCCAATATTAAAATAACTAAAAGTAAAAGAAAATTTTCTTCGCGAACTCTTACTTTTTTCTTACAATTATTATTGATAAATAGAACAAAATAATCAAATTCTTTTGACAATCACAATGAATAAAATAAAAGTTAATGTTATTGAGGACACCAATCTTCTTCTCTCTACTCAACACTCTTCTCATCTCATTTTGGCACAACTTATCAACAGTGTTTCGAGAAACTATTACAGCACATGGCTATGCAACTAATGATACAAAAATAAGATTATTTCAATTTTAACATGACACGTTCAATGTCTTTTCCAATTTCGATTACATTTGAATGTTGAGACGGTAAAGACTGACGATAGATAGTGGCTGCTTTGTTATAATATTCTAGCGCTTCGTTCAAATTATTTATCGTCTCATATAACAGACCAATTTTTTTATTACTTGAACCAATATCTTGATGTTGAGAAGGTAATGATTTCATTCTAATATCGAGCGATTTTCTGTAATGGACCATGGCAAGCTGATACTGGCCAACAATCCGATGAACATCACCTATGCCAACATGATTTAAAGCTTTATCTGGATGATTAGAAGATAAGTGCTGTTGTTGAATATTCAATGAGCTTTGATAATAACTCAATGCATCTGAGTATTGCTTCCAAGCACAGTAAATACGAGCAACACCATGATACCAAGAGGCCATATCTGGATGATTCGTAGCATTCGCACGATTGTAGCAATCCATTCCTTTA